CACCACCAACTGAACTCCCTAAAACTGAACCTGTAGGTTTTGTCAAGGCAGTTAACGCACACTTTTGCACACAAAAACCCTGTTATTTTGAACCTGCTTGGCAGTACACACTTCAGTTTCACTTTCAATACCCAAAAAAATTAAATATATATGAAAAGAAAAGAGGAATAGATTCTTAAGTTTAGGGATAAAAACTGCATTCGAAACATTAGTTAGACTCTTCTTTCTCTAGAGTTAAAAAGCATATCAGCGACACTTATACATTAACAAGAGCAGTTTCCATCACTGTTAAAAAAAAAAGAATAGAGGGAAGAGACAAATAATTATACTGTGCAGTTTACTATACAACTGACTCTCTCGGGTTTGCTTGTAGAGTCAAGAGGTGTTGGTTGGGGGCAGAATGCAATAAAACCTCATTAGTGACTTCTACAGGAACAACAACAATATTTTGCACGGGGGGTTCTGGACAGCACCGTGCCTCTCTGTAATGTGACAGTGCCTCAGGATTAGAGGGCTGTTGTCTTGCCAAAGTTTCTAAAGCTGCTTGCTCCATTTCCTCAGCAAGCTCTGCATTACTCCCATAGAGAACCCCTAACCTTCGTGCAAGCAACCCATTTTTTTCTGGTGGATCGTCACCTTCTTTCTTTCTCCCCATCTTCTTAGATCGATGCATAAAAGCTGCATGGCATAAGCAGCGCCTCAGAAGATGGCTGCGGTAAGCCCTCTGAATAACCACAGCGGCCCTCTGCTCTTCTTTGTGGCGCACCGTTGTGACAACTGGCGCAAAGCTGTCTTTGCTATCCTTAAATTTTTCCTCAGTGCTATTCCGTATTGCTTCCATCTCCACTGTGTCTCCCAAGATCAACTGAGTGACAGCCATCAACACATCCAAGTAGTGGATCTTATCTCCAGCAACCAAGGGGAGATCCATTTCAATCAGCTGGAACAGGTTGGGTTTGGCAACCTTCAGTGGCTCCTGCAAGGTATCACAAAAATCTGAGAGCTGGCTATACTCAATAAACTGAGCTCCATCAATGTCAAATTTCTCCCATGTCTCATTGAACATCTCAAAGTCTTCCTCACTGAGTGGATCGCTGCTTTCCTCCTGTGCCACATTGAAGTTCTCTAAGATGATCGCAATATACATGTTGACCACCACCAAGAATGAGATGATGATGTAACTGCAGAAGAACACCATGCCCATGCCAGGGCTTCCACAGTTGCCCTTTACATTCGTGCCAGGATGCTCAAAGTCTGGATCACAGTCTGGAGGCTCCCGGTTCAGCATTGGAAGTAGAAGTCCATCCCAGCCTGCAGATGTTGTAATCTGGAACAAGCAGATAATGCTTCCTCCAAATGTTTCAAAATTAAATATATCATCAATCCCAGCCTCCTTTTTGACATAGGCAAAATTTGACATCCCAAATATAGAGAAGATGAACATATTGAGGAAGAGCAGGAGACCAATATTGAATAGAGCAGGTAGGGACATCATCAGGGCAAATAGAAGCGTCCGAATGCCCTTAGCTCCTTTAATAAGACGTAGAATCCTGCCTATCCTGGCCAGTCTGATCACCCTGAAAAGAGTTGGTGACACAAAGTACTTCTCAATTAGGTCTGAGAGCATTGTACCTGGAAGAAAACACACAGAAAAGCAACAATGTATCAATATATCTGCTGGACCAAATTAGCAATTCACAGCTGTACTTTTAATTCATTAATTACCCACCAGCTATTGACAAGATGACCACAACAAAATCAAAAACGTTCCATCCATTGGTGAAGTAGTACTGCCGCAGGGCAAAGACCTTCAACACACACTCTCCAGTGAAGACCACAATGAAAGCCACGTTTAACTTAAAGAGGAAATCCTCCTTCTCTGCACTTTGGTTATCTGTTTCCACCATCATGGACACCATATTGAGGCAAATGAGGACCATAATGAAGATGTCAAAGAATTGTTGACTGATGAAGTCAAACACTATGCCCTGGATTAGGTTCTGTAAAGGAGAGGAAGGAAATCGAGAGCAGTGAGGAACAGAAATACAAATCCAGGAAAGTCATTTGGCCTGTTAACACAAGTAGTGTGCAGAAAAGGTGAACATAGCCACGTTATGCATGCCGACATGAAGCATCATTACTTCTGATGATGTCATTCATACATGCAAGTTTTCCAGTCTTGGACTGATCAATGTAACGCATACAGAAAACTAAAATAATCATAATGTCTTACCGTTGGACGAGGAATTGGCTTCTGTGGCTTCTTGGAACCAAGTTTCTTCATGGCTTCATAGTACTTTTTCTGTTCATCAGTCATAAAGATGTCTTCATCTCCAAAGTGCGGAAAAAGCAGAATTCAAACGTAATTATAGGAATTTAAATAATGTCACAAGTCTATGTGGTTTAAAGTTATAAAATTGTACACTTGAAAATAGGAAAGAAGACACTCAATGCTTTTGCACAGGCACTATTTCAGATGAACAAAGTCTTATACTTATCTTTTTCTTTTGCCGACTAAAGTTATCAATAATGACCCCAATGAAGAGGTTAAGTGTGAAGAAAGAGCCAAAGATAATGAATATGACAAAGTACATGTACATGTAGAGGTTGATTTCGTAGGATGGTTGCTCTTCCACCTAAGTAGAAAAAATACAAGTGAATAAATGCCTAATCATCATCGTTTGCTCAGTTACAGGTTGGAAGATTTTCTTCATTTGATTCATCGGATATTTTATAATGTCGGGTTGCAATGCATACATGCTCTTCTAAGGAAATAATTGTAATTGTACTCATAGTTACAATTTATTGCCCTAGATGAGGATTCCTTTATGCAGCTCACCAGAACTTCAAAGACACAAAATCATTACCTCTCTTGAGTCGACAGCAGCATACATGATGTCCATCCAACCTTTAAAAGTTGCCTGCAGTCAGTGAAAACATTTATTTAAAATATGTATCAGTAAATATGACTACTAATTTTCTTTAACTCAAACAAAACACCTCACCACTTGAAGTAGGGACAGGTAGCCTTGTCCAACATTGTCATAGTTGACTTTCATGTTGACCCAGCGGGCCTCCTGTGTCGCTTCTTTGATGGCCATGCAGTCGCTCCGGTTATTGACTTCAGTGATGGGGAAAAGCTCCTCCGATGTGGTGTTGATACAGCGGTAGAACTTCCCAGCAAACAAATTAACTCCCATGATGCTGAAGATGAGCCAAAAAATCAGACACACCAGTAGCACGTTGAAGATGGAGGGAATTGCTCCAACGAGAGCGTTTACCACCACCTGCCCCACAAGACAAGACTCTGTTTAGAATTTTGCAATAGATATTCAGATTTATTCAATAATTTATTCAGCTGTAAGACCTGAAGTACTGTGCAAAGGCACCCCACAATTCTCTATAATTTGTTAGCAAGATGGGAAACAGGTGGAGCAATTTATTGAAAGGTGCAAATATTCATGAGAGCACAGTATGTAAGTCACAAACAGAGTTTTTAGAACCCTAACAAGATTTCAAGTCAATATTTGGCATTGCCACCTATTTTCTATATTGTAGTCTGAGCTTTCTTAGGCAAGTTTTATTCTGTTTCCTAAAAAGAGTCCTCTGGTGTAGTTCTCCAGGCTTCTTGACATCCAAATCTCTTCTTTCAGTTCTGGGTGCCTTTTGTTTCGTTCTCTACCAAAATGATCCCAGAATGCATGTCATTTTTTATAGACTCTTTATAGACTTTTTATATTTTATAGACTATAGATTTTTTTATAGCTTTTGCAACAGGCTGCTAGAAACAAAGTGCTCAAAGATACAATTAAAATTGGTTCTTGGCTAAACTATTTGCTGACACACAATACTGATCCTTTGAGTTGGATACCTCTTTTATACTTGAATGATTCATAGGTCAATCTTAGGTGACTTAACAAACAAATAAACAAAAATAAAAGGAAAGATAAGGTCGGGTACAAGAACCTGACCGAAAATGAGTGAAAAAGCAGCTAATGTTCAAAGAAAAGCTTTGAAAGATCTTCAGAAACACAGGAAAACTTGCTCAAAAACACTTTAAAATAACAAGAATGTCTGACTCCTTGGAAAGGAAAAAAGAAAAGAAAGAAATGAGTGGTGGTTCAAGACTTTTGCACAGGGCTACAACAATAATCTTACTCAAGTGAATGCATTGATTAGTTAGTCAACTGACTCGGGAAAACTCACCTCAGTCACCTCTGTTACAGCAGCTGTGGTTTAAGCATGCATTCAACAAACACAGTTGGACAAAGCCAGGCAAATTAGTACAAGAGTGCATCAAACAAGACAGGTTTGCATCTTCTAAATCAGTGTTAACCATTCAAAATATTAAAATGTTAACATTAAGTATTACAAATTCCATATGAAACAAGCATTAGCAGCCAATAACTTACCCTCATCCCTTCGAATCTTGATAGCGCGCGAAGAGGCCTTAGTGCTCTGAGGGTTCTGAGGGATTTGATTGGCCCAAGGTCAGAGTAGCCCAACCAGTTGGCAGCTAAACTAATCAGGGAAATCTGTAGCAGAATCAAAACATTTCCCATTCAAGTGCTATCACAAAACCTTTCTGGCATAGGAGATGTATTATCACATACAGGCAAGCAGGGGAACTTACATCTACAATGAAAAAGTCTAGCCAACACCAGGCATTGGTGAAATAGGTCTTGAAGCCATATGCAACCCATTTAAGGAGCATCTCAATGACAAAGATGTAGGTGAAAATCTTGTCAGCATACTCCAGAATTATTTTGATCGTTCGGCGCTTTTCTATGTATATATCTTCAAAAGCCTGCCAAAAGAAAACATTATCTACCTAGATATGTGTCATGACAGGATCAGTGTCTTAACGCTATCATAAAAAGGTCATCGTTTCTAAATTTGTTGCTGTTATGACAACACTCACAAGAGCTCCACTGCTGAGGAGGATCATAAAGATTATGAAGGTTTCAAACCAATCATGCTCCACAATAGTGAAGCAGGTCTTGCGGAGGTTCCACCATTTTTTGCCTTTGTCTTGGGTGATGTCCACCATCAGACATGGCCAGCGCCTCACACAGTCTGAGAAAAGTGGAAAGGTTTGCGATTACCTCATAATGTCAGATTACAGAATGGGTACTGAAAAAGACTTCTGTGTCTTTTTTGTTTTGTTTATTTAATAAAATTGTTGTTCATACTGTCAGTGAAGCACGCCTCTGGCTCCAGTGGCTCTGGCTCTTCTATTTCCGGTTCAGGCTCAGGCGGTCGATAGTCCGCTGAGCTGCATACGGAAGAATCCTCATCATTCCGAACACCCATCAGCTGGACAAGAATCACAGTTAAAGTTCAGATGCAAATGCATTATGCAATCACACAGATGAAAATACTGTTAACTCACTTTGATATTTCCTGGGATACTAATTTGATCTTTCACATTTTCCTGAAACAGCAGACGAACAGAAAACAAACTTTATTAAGTGTTCATAGGAGTTTGAGAAACATCCAGCACACGAGTTTATTGTCCCCAAAATACATTATGGGGATCCTGGGAGCACACACAAATCCCTTTGAGGTTACGTCAGGAACAACATCCGGTATTATTTATTTTGAGAATAATTATTTTCTTTGCTGCCTTATTTCCAACAGTTACAAAAAATTATATATTCTGATGATAGTTAGGATTTATTTTAATGTTTGGCAAATTTCCAAATACAAAGTTCCAATACATGTTTAAGCCATGTTGCCAGTTTGTTAACCAAAGTCGAATTTTACTTATGCTGGATATATATTTCCTGATGAATTGAATTTTAGCTGCAAATTTGAACACAAAAAAGTCAAGTTGGACACGTGAATGAATGAATTAACCAATACAATTTATCATTGGTGGTCAAGAGCTGTTAAAATCTTATTTTGAGATGAATAATAGATCAAAAGATGGCAATTATTTGAAATAAACTGTATAAGACTTTGGATTAGGACAGAAGTTTTCTTACGGTATTCTGCTGGCTATGTCCCTCATCTAAACTCTCAGAGTGATTATCATAATTGGAATCACTGGTTTCATCTTCATCATCCTCATCGTCCTCTCCCAGATTTTCAAAGTCTGACTCTCCCTGGGCAATTGGCACACTAAGACTAAACTCTCCATCCACAATAAATCCAGAAGGCCGGCCTTCAACTAGGCAATCTGATATCCCATCTGCCAGTTTGAAAGTCTGACTGGTGTCCAAATGGTTCATTTCAATTCCTTCCGTTTTAGGGTCGACGTCATCAGCAGGGCCCTCGTCGGGCTCCTTGGGCTTTCTGCCAAGAGTCCGCAAGATAGTTTGAATGATGAACGCTTTAAACCAGTCGATGAACCGTGTGATCCTGCCGATGGCAATCTGGAGATTGTTCATCTCTCCGTCCTCTTCTCCTGCAGAAAGGTTGTCTCCACTGAACGAGCTGAGCAGTAAGGCCAAAAAGAGATTCAGCACCTGAGTTCAAAGAGTAATGAAGGTAATTATGAATACGCATCATACGTACAGCCCATATTTCACACATAGAATTAACAGTTTCTTATTGTTCATTTTGTTTAGTGAAAAAAAAAATTGACAGTCAAAGTGATGCCTAAAGAAGTGAGAATTAGGAATCATTACTCGACTGCAAAACAGTGATCAAGCTTATATCCAGTGATCAGTGAGTAAAAATGTGCTAACTTTGCTGAACCAAACACAAAAGTTTGGAATAGCTCAAGCAGACATCATATTGTTCCTGTGACGTCACATCAGTAAATATTATGTTGTCTGCCTCCTGTCTCAGATGCAGCTATCTTTAGATACTCAAACATGTTATTCAATTTCGTGGCTTCTATTTCCCAGGTTTAGCAGGAGATCATGGTTACATGGACTAGTGGGAATGCTCATCTCGCTTATTCCAGTGTCCGAGATGTCAATAAGAAAATAAAGCTGATGGACAGGATGAGCTGTACAAAAACCAAACGCGACAATGAAAGATCGGATATGGATTTGATGATCTTTGATGAGTGGAAAAAATAACTGTGGTAGAGGTTATAGTGTTTTTTCAGGGTCATGTTCCTAGTCTCCTGGAATATAATTCAGGTGATTTGTCAGCTAATTCCATTAGCTTTGTACAGTTCCGGTAACCTGATGAAGTGAGACATTTCTTCCTTGTCTTAGAGGAACAGTGTGGCCTATAGGAAATGTACCTAGTCAATTTCTTGCTGCAAAATAGATTAAATTTTTTTTTTAAAAATCGAAAAATTTAAAACTCATTACTTTTGGTTTTATCTGAAGGCACAGCCAGCAGCTTGAGCTGATGTTATATTATTATTTGTTTAATAAAAACTGTGCATAAAAGCTAGTGGTGATTTCATGCTCATTCAACCAGAGAAAATACTCTGCGTGATTCTCAGTTCAAAAATAAGCCCCTCCCTCTGAGCCAAGTTTATTCTAATTGGCTGCCCATCTCACACAGAATGATCATCCACCATTCTAACAGTAATGTATGACATAAAATAAATAAAAACATACTAAGTCCCCTTTAAATCTTCTCTGCTCTATATGCTGTGGTGTTGATGGCTCAATATGATTACCTCTACATCAATTAGAGTTCAATCTGCTATCAAATGACTTCTCCTTTACACCCAGACGCACTGCCACCTGAGCTGTGCTCGCTCAGCTGTCCACGTTTGTTCCATCAGTGGCAGCATGCTTACTTGAGCCGGATCTTAGCGCATACTCAAGGTCAAAACCACGGTTTGGTAGCTTAAGTCATTAGATTTAAATAGAAACCCCCTCCCATGAACCTTGTAAGTATATTATTTGCCTCATTATTAGTGAAAAAAAGTGTACATTCATGTGTTAAGTAAGCATGCTCAGGTTTAAGAGTGGGTAAGTAAGAGTTTAAGATCCAAGAAGCCTCAACAATTTTGGCACAGCGTGCCTAACACAATACTTCAAACCTTGATGATGAGCCATTTCCTTTTCATTTCTATGAATAACCTGACAGGAAATGGATTTGGCTCTAGTCATTAAATATGATGCTGAAATGATGTCTGACAGTGATCGTCTGTATGGCCTTGTTTCGTGAGGCCAAGATAAAAAGGTCAGGGGGCAGCGTTTTCATGCTACAGACACAGAATTCTTCAGAAAGCATTACAAACCCTGAAGCCTCATCACGAAAATTGAGCCAGACTCTCAATCAGTTCAAAGGCTGTTCTGTTAAATTGTATATGTTGGACTGAAACAAGCTCCTAGGATATAAATGTCACTCTGACACATGTCATTCATCTAGATCCCCAGTTGGGCAATGAGTCCAATCAAACAACAAAAACTGCTCAGGAGCAGCTTGAGGAACATGAAAAATCTCAAAACACCCGTGAGAGGTGCCGTAACAAGCCTGATCCATGGATACTATGCAACAACCCACAGAACACAGAGGATCTGAAGTCTCGAACCACAGGGGTGAGGAGGTCAGGTGATTCTGCACTGATGGGTCAAAATTTTCTTGGCTGCACGACTGGGGCATGCACAGTATAAGAGAGGCTGTTTTAATCTTTTGGCTGATCAGCGTAAACAATTTTTTCCTCCAGCTCCAACAAAAAAAAGTTTCACAAGTTTTTCCTTAACATACTCAAATATTTACTTCACAATCTCCTAGATGGATCACTGAAATAACTAAGACTTTCTTTCTTCAATCTTCAGTCTGAAGATAGCATGCAGTTGTTGGACTCACCACTAGATTTCCAATGACCATGACCAACATGAAGACAACTAAACACATCCCAGTTCCGGCAACCTCCATGCAGTCCCACATAGTCTCGATCCACTCCCCACACAGGATGCGAAACACGATAAGAAATGAGTGGAAGAAGTCGTTCATGTGCCAGCGCGGCAATTCACAGTCCAAGGAGATCTTGCACACGCAGTCGTTGTAGTTCTTGCCAAAGAGCTGCATGCCCACGACGGCAAAAATGAAGACGATGATGGCCAGCACCAAAGTCAGGTTTCCTAAAGCCCCTACTGAGTTACCGATGATCTTGATGAGCATGTTGAGAGTGGGCCAGGACTTTGCCAGTTTGAAAACTCGAAGCTGTCACCAAACATGGGACAAAAATAAATAAAGACATTTAGTAGAAGAGCAGGTAATTCCACAGTGTTAAACTGATGCAAAGAAATTCAATCAGTGTGTCTCACCAGACGGAATGACCTGAGGACTGACAGACCCTGAACATTTGCCAGCCCCAACTCCACCAGACTGAGTGTAACAATGATGCTGTCGAATATGTTCCAGCCAACTTGAAAGTAGTAGTAGGGATCCATAGCAATAAGCTTGAAGACCATTTCTGCTGTGAAAATACCTGTAAAAACCTTTTTAAAAAAAGATAAATGTTTTTTTCACCCCTAAAATCTGAGCAATGTCTTTAAAGTATTTTAAAATGTTAGGCGGCACATACCAGATTCCCCACTGACAGCATATAGTCAAACTCCGGGGTCATGGGGTAGTGCTCCATGGCCATGAAGAGGGTGTTGAGCACAATGCAGATAGTGATAGCCAGGTCAACAAAAGGGTCCATCACAACAAAGTATACCCGCTTTTTAAAGACCACCCAGGGGGTACAGCAGTCCCACTTCAGGAAAAGGTCAGCAAATTTGTACCAGCCAGGTGGACATGGCCTCTGAGCCTCCTCCAACTCTAGAGAAAGAGGCAGAAAACAAAAGGTAATATTAAACCTCACTTAAGCCTAAACCTTCAACCTAAAGTCCAAGTCTTGTTGCTTCAAGTTATAGCTGTGCTGAAATAGATCTAGCTTAACACCATGTTTGACAGGAATCTCTGCTACACACAATATATTTAGCCTCGTTATGATAAGCTCAAGACAACTCCACCGTATCGGCCTTGGATAAATTAATGAACAATGTTAACAACTGCTTGATAATCTTAGGAATTATTGCTCACACCAGAGCACCTAATGCTAAGCCTTGTGTATTTCTTCTTCACCCCCAGTGGCACCCGACACTTCCAGATGCCAGATTTCTCCACGCAGTATAAAAAAAAAAACATTACCCCGAAATAGAGGTTATGTTGTTGTGTCCTCAGCTTACATTAATCAAAGCTAAACAACATATCCTAATTTTGTTAGTGTGATATCAATATTGTGTGTGTTTGGTGCTGTACCTTCCATGGCAGCTGCAGTGAGCACAGTCAGAGCACTAGCAGTTCTCTCTGGCATGCATGGTTCATCCAGTTGGAGCATGCTGTGAACGGAGCCCAGTGACTTCTCTCTGCATTCATAATCCATGGCAGACTGTAAAATAGCATAGCATAGCATAGCATCTTTATTTAAACGCACTTTACATCCAACAATGTTGACCAAAGTGCTACAAATATAGTTTGAGAATTTCTCAAAACACATAAGTCAAGGTATGTAATTGCAGATGGACAAGGCAAAGGTTTTTAAAAGGATTCATACAGGCACCACTAACTATAACTTACCTCGTTCATGGTAGGCGCTCTGATCAGCAGACGTGGAATAATTCTCCCATTGCAATCTTTGACAATTTCATCACGGTCAAGGCTCTGTTCATCATCTGCCAAATCAGACCCAGTGTGATGGCTGAGCGAGTTCTTGCTGGTTAGAGTGCCTTGGCTACCGAGCATCTTAGCCTGATTGGCAGAAGATAAGTCATTCAGTAAAATGCCTTTGTTATTGCATTGGACAGTTTATAAAACCCTTTAAAAGATGGCTCGGCTGTAATTTTACAGTATAAAATATTACTTTATTATAATTTAGTACTGAATAGGTGACATTCAATGTCCCATCTGCTAGTCTTGGTAGCCAGGGATCGGTCCATCAGGGACTCCGCTCCTGGCCACCACTCGGCTCACAATGCACTCGACCCCAACGGTGCCTCCTGCAGGAGGTGGTCCTGCAGGAAGATGGGTCTTCCTGCAGGATGGGTCAGGAAGATGGCCACCAGACGCTTGCCCTCGGGCAAACTCTCTGGACCTGGCTCCAGAGCGGGGGCCCTGGTAACCCTATCCCGGGCAGGATGAACTGTTCCCTAGGTGTTCTTCTCATAGGGGTCTTCTGAATTGCTCTTTGTCTGGTCCCTCACCCAGGACCAATTTGCTATAAGAGACCCTACCAGGGGGCAGAAGCCCCTGGACAACATAGCCATTGGGAGCCCTGGGACACAAAACCCCCTACACCATGATAAGGTAGCGATTCCCTACCCTCACCTATGGTCACGAGCTGTGGGTAGTGACCGAAAGAACGAGATCGCGGATACAAGTGGCAGAAATGGGCTTCCTCCGGAGGGTGGATGGCCTCTCCCTTTGAGATAGGGTGAGAAGTTCAGCCATCGGGGAGGAGGTCAGAGTAGAGTCGCTGCTCCTCCGCATCAAAAGGAGCCAGCTGAGGTGGTTCGGGCATCTGACAAGGATGCCTACTGGGCCCTCCTGGTTGAGGAGTTCCAGGCATGTCCCACAGGGAGGAGGCCCTGGGGCAGACCCAGGAAACACTGGAGAGATTATATCTCTCGGCTGGCCTGGGAACGCCTTGGTCTTCCCCCGGACAAGCTGGAGGAGGTGGCTGGGGAGAGGGAGGTCTGAGCTTCTCTGCTTAGGCTGCTGCCCCCGCAACCCAGCCCCGGTTAAGCAGAAGAAGGTGGAAGGATGGATGGATAGTACTGATTAAAAAAAAGAAAACAAAGTTTTTACTATGAGCCATAGAATGGCAAAAACCAGTACTGGGATTTTGCCTAAAAGGCTTGAAGGTGAGACTAGTTTTGACCTGTAATAATACTCTAAACGGTTGAACACATGGACAGCATGAGAAGTTATTGTAAAGTAATATAAATTTGGCAATGAGTCAGGTATTGCTGGGACACTAAATCCAAATAGTTGTGGTTAAAAGTGGTTGTTGTAGCACATATTGGTGTCTTATACACTTTGCATCTTCAGTTTTATTTTGAATTTGATCCAGGCAAAGACCAACCTCTTCCAGTCATCCAGGAGGAATT